CCCCGCCCTTGGCCCCGACCCCCGCCCCTGCCCCTGCCCCTGCTCCAAGCCATCCCCGGCCTCGCACCCCGCTCAGCCCCGCCCCGGCCCCGCGCCCAGGGCCATCCCGGGTTTACCAGGGGTGGGTGTAGCCCCGGGGGGGCCCCAAGGTGGCGCCGAAACTGCATTTTTGTAGTTCGGCCCAGGGGGTGCAGGCTGCTGCTGTGCACCCCCTTGCTTTTTTTTTTCTTTTTTTTTTTTGGGGGGGGGGGGCGGAACCGAGGTCAGGGGTGCCCACCCTCGGACTCCCGCACCCCTGCCCGGCCCCTCGGGCCGGGGCTTGACCACCCTGGCGAGAGGTATGTAGAAAAGGAAAATTTTTGATTCTGTAGGTACCTAGCCTTTGAAAAAGGGAAAGAGTATCAGAGAGAATTTGGAAGCGCGGGCGTACGGTTGGAGAGCCAGCAAAAAGTAGAGGAGGAACGTGCATGACCGGATCTCAGTGCAACTATTCTACAGATCGGATCGACAGAAGCTGAGGATAACCAGTTCACCTCGACGGTGTCGTAGCAAACACCCTTACAAGGGTATTTGCTGTCCTTTTTAAAGGACACACTGGGGGTGTCCTTGATCAACGTGATGTGCTGATGGGGCAAATCCCGTCAGGGCGCACACCTCGACAACCTCGCTCTTGCCGAAACTCTGAGTCAAAATACGACCAAATTAAAGAATGTGCGGGGATGCATTAATGCGTTGCATTGTGAGATAGTCGATAATCATCAGCTGTGTAGGTCGGCGGAAGGCTTCAGAACCATAGGATCCAGTTACCTTCTCTGTAGTTTTTCTTTTTTGTTATATTTTTTTGTTTATTTATAAGACACGAACTTAACTTTGCAAACCAGCTCGGCCTCCGGCAGGGCTCATAGCAAGGAAGACAAAGATTTCACTTTACACATGCGCAGGAAAATTGTGTTGGGCGACACGTTAAAAGGCGCGACCTTGTCAGGTTTAGCATGAGGGAAGTTGGGAGCTTCGGTGATACAAATGGTGTGTCAGACGGCCAAGGAACCAGACGACCATAAACCTGGGCGTGGGCATCATCTTTTGACAGTCTGGGGGGCTGTTCGGTAGGCCAAGGCAAAAGCCTGGTTTGTGCGGGTAGGACCAATCATGGTCTCACGACTATGCATATGCAGGTTCCCGCCTACCTAGCTTAGCCTTTGGCCTAGTTCTAATGGTTACGGTATGGGACTTTCAAGCCGTAGGTTTGGGGTTCGAGGTCAGCAAGTGGCGATGCGGAGCAAAGGAGCGCGATCGGCGGAGACCGAGGGGTCGAGGGTCTTAAGGGACTCCCCTTTGGTTTTGCCAGACCGGCCCAAGCCTGGGGTTGA